TCAAGGTCACTTTGAATTTCCACTGCTCACAGAAGTCACACCCTTTCTGTTTATTATGCTTGACTTTGCATAAGCTGTTCTTTCTATATGAAATGTGCTTTCCTCCTTTCCCCTTCAGAGTCCTACTCAGCTCTGATAACACCCTTGAATGTCATGTTTTTTGTAAAGCCTTTCCTAACTTTCCTAGGAAAGAAGATCACTAACTTGAAGTCCCACAGCACTTTCTGTGTATCTGGTTCAAATGCATTTGTTTTGTGTTTGCTGTTCTACCTCCTCCTCCCTCCTCATTCCCATCCATCTGTGTTCCTAGGTTAGCATGCAGTATGTGCTTGGAAAATAAGCCTTTACAATAAATGAAAATTTCACATATATAATTAATTCTGCAGAAAATAACTTTAAAAAGTAAAAAAATTTACAAAATTTAGGCACACAATTATATTTCCTTCCAACACTTATTTTTCTCTTTCAAAAGCACTGTAAGAATTCACATGGGGTCTCAGAAAAAGCCTCACCTCTCCCCTGACAGTGAGCCAAAGGAACAGGAGAAAGAAAAAGACTGAGTAAGGCTGATCTCTCTGTAGGTTCTGTCTTGGGCATTCTGCTACTAGGTAGGTAAGCTGAAAGCCAGATGGGTCCTTTGGAAAAGAGAGGGAGATATGACCTTGGAAGCAGAGACAAGGGACTCTGTGATTAGCCATCAAGAGACTTATCACAATGATCAAAGATCACTCAGTTCACATATGCAGGGAAGGGCCCGGCTGCCACCTTACAGTAACAGGTGAAGCCTGATCAACACACACAAACACATGACTATGATGGGGAGGAGAAAAGAGCAAGTATGAAAATGCCATCTTTGGATGAGGGGCTGGTGGGTAGGAGGGAGGGAAAAACATAGGCAGTCAAAGCCAGAACAGCACATCTGGAAGTCTACTTTTGAAGAAAGGATTAGGAAGCAATTTAAAGGCAGAGTCATAGATCTCAACAAACCTGGAAATATTACTGATCCAAAGCAAACCTGCTTCTAAACTGCTTATTTTAGCAGAACTTATTCAATACAGCTGTTCTTTTGCTTATGAACCCCTCAGTGCTTTCTGTTTTGTTAGCTGGTTCTTTGTGAAAGTAACTTTTCAACTTTCAAATCACTACTGGGTTTGTCAGAGGATGAGGTATGTATATTTCTCCCTTCAGTTAGTACACAGAGGGAAGCCATCCATCTTTAGATTTTATACAATAAAGGAACACTCAAGTCACTTCAAGAGCTGACAGAAGGAGGTGTGGTGGCAGAGAATGAGCTGGAAACTCAAGACAGACAGAGGCAGTCCTCCCTCATAAGTGGTTATTGAAAACCTACTGTATGGTCCTACTGGGAATTCATTCAACAAAGAGGAAATTCACATCACACTGGCTAAGAATATAGGTTTTACATTGAAACTTATGAGTTGTGTGACAATGGCAGGTTATTTACCTCATTTCATTTTAGCTTTCTAATTTGTAAAATTCTGTACAATATTTCTTATCTCCAAGGACTACTCAGAGGATTAAATGTCTTAATAAACATGAAGAGTTTTAAAAAGTGCCTAATTAGAATTCAGTAAGTGAGCTTTTATTATTATATGTAAAGTGCCCATTACGTGCCAAATTTCTATCTCAAAAAACTTAAGTTTAATTGGGATTTATGTTTGAAACTGTTTCACGTAAGTATGACAGAACTGAGACTCAACTCAGGTGGAAGGAAAACACAAGCAAACAAAACAATTAAGGTGCACACAAAGAACAGTAACACTGGACCATGATAGGAGCCTGCCTTTTTTTTTTCCTTTTTGATAGGAGCCTTTCTATTCCACCAATGTCTAGCAATCCTTTCCCCGCTTCGTTTTTTCTTTACACTGTGGAAATCACAAAAAAACATTTTTGAAATCTTACACAAGGATGGCATGGAAGATACTATTTGTTGTCTGCCCAACGGTGATTCCTCATTTTCCTCCTGCCTAACAGAGCCCCCAAACTTGGGATGGACTTGAGCTCAGTCCCGCAGGAGGAATTAAAATTGTTCTCAGACTATTACAACTATCCCATTCTCCTTTGCCAAATAATCTCTTCCCCACATCTCCCTTGCAGTTAAAAGCAGTGACATGATTGGCTCTGGCCAAATGAAACAAAAGGTGAAGCCTTCTGAAAACTGTTTCCTTCACTGATAAGAGCAGCCCACTGCCTGAACATCCTGCTTTCTGACTACGGTTGTGATGACCAAAGCCAACGCAGCTGTTCATGGATAGGAGACGAGATGCACAGGAATAAGAAGTCTCAGGCTGAAAATGGAAAAGAGAAGGAAAGAGCTAGAGATCTTGACAACACAGTGAAATAATTAAACACTCTAACTTTTGAGGCCACATTAGTGGGCTTCACGTCTGTGCCAAATACATCTGATACCAACAGAGTAATTTTGTGCTTTATTCTCAAAGCAAATTATTTATGATTATTTCCATTCATTTTGTTGGCATCCTGGCAAATCAGATCATATACCAGAATCTTTAGTTCAGTTCAGTCAGTTGCTGAGTCATGTCCGACTCTTTGCAACCCCATGAACTGCTGGACGCCAGGCCATCCTGTCCATCACCAACTCCCAGAGCTTGTTCAAATTCAATGTCCACCGAATCGGTGATGTCATTCAACCATATCATCCTTTGTCCCCTTCTCCTCCTGCCTACAATCTTTCCCAGAATCAGGGTCTTTTCAAAAGAGTCAGTTCTTCGAATCAGGCGGCCAAAGTATTAGAGCTTCAGCAGCAGTCCTTCCAATGAGTATTCAGGACTGATTTCCTTTATGACTGACTGGTTTGCAGTCTGACTCCTTGCAGTCCATGGGACTCTCAAGAGTCTTCTCTAACACCACAGTTCAAAAGCATCAATTCTTCGGTGCTCAGCTTTCTTCATGTCCAACTCTCACATCCACATATGACTACTGGAAAAACCATAGCTTTCCTTCCAAGGAGCAAGCGTCTTTTAATTTCATGGCTGCAGTCACCATCTATCTGCAGTGATTATGGAGCCTAAGAAAATAAAGTCTCTCACTGTTTCCATTGTTTCCCTATCTATCTGCCATGAAGTGATGGGACCAGATGCCATGATCTCCATTTTTCGAATGCTGAGTGTTAAGGCAGCTTTTTCATTCTCCTCTTTCACTTTCATCAAGAGGCTCTTTCGTTCCTCTTTGCTTTCTGCCAAAAGGGTGGTGTCATCTGTATATTTGCGGTTACTGATATTTCTCCTGGCAATCTTGATTCCAGGTTGTGCTTTATCCAGTCCAGCATTTCGCATGCTGTGCTCTGCATATAAGTTAAATTAGCAGGGTAACAATATACAGCCTTGATGTACTCCTTTCCCAATCTGGAACCAGTCTGTTGTTCCATGTCCAGTTCTAACCAGTGCTTCTTGACCTATACACCGATTTCTCAGGTGGCAGGTCAGGTGATCTGGTATTTCCATCTCTTTAAGAATTTTCCAGTTTGTTGTGATCCACACAGTCAAAGGCTTTGGTGTAGTCAATAAAGCAGAAGTAGGTGTCTTTCTGGAACTCTCTTGCTTTTTCTATGATCTAATGGATGTTGGCAATTTGATCTCTGGCTTCTCTGCCTTTTCTAAATCCAGCTTGAAAACCTGGGAAGTTCCTGGCTCACGTACTGTTGAAACATGGTTTGCAGAATTTTCAGAATTACTTTGCAAGCATGTGAGATGAGTGCAACTGTGTTGTAGTTTGAATATTCTTTGGCATTGCCTTTCTTTGGGACTGGAAGGAAAACTGACCTTTTCCAGTCCTGTGGCCACTGCTGAGTTTTCCAAATTTGCTGGCATATTGAGCGCAGCACTTTAACAGCATCATTTTTTAGGACCTGAAACAGCTCAGCAGGAATTCCATCACCTCCACTAGCTTTTTTCGTAGTGATGTTTCCTAAAGCCCACTTGACTTTGCATTCCAGGATGTCTGGCTCTAGGTGAGTGATCACACCACTGTGGTTATCTGGGTCATGAAGATCTTTTTTGTACAGTTCTGTATATTCTTGCCATCTTTTCTTAATATCTTCTGCTTCTGTTAGGTCCATACCACTTCTGTCCTTTATTGTGCCTATCTTTGCAGGAAATGTTCCCTTGGTATCTCTAACTTTCTTGAAGAGATCTCTAGTCCTTCCCATTCTATTGTTTTCCTATTTCTTTGCACTGATCACTGAGGAAAGCTTTCTTATCTCTCCTTGCTATTCTCTGGAACTCTGTATATCTTTTCTTTTCTCCTTTGCCTTCAGCTTCTCTGTTCTCAGTTATTTGTAAGGCCTCCTCAGACAACCATTTTGCATTTGTTTTTCTTGGGGATGGCCTTGATCACTGCCTCCTATACAGTGTCACGAACCTTCATTCATCGTTCTTCAGGCACTCAAGTCTATCAGACCTAATCCCCTGAATCTGTCACTTCCACAGTATAATTGTAACTCCTCTTAGAATTCAACCATTAGTTTAGAGAACTTTAGTTTTGAATTAAGCCTTATAGGACCTAGATGAGCCCTCTTCATTTTACTGAAGACAAATCTGAGGCTCAGAAATTAGTCAATTATGGTTAAATGCCCCAGGCAGAGTATGGAAAAATCAAGGCTTCAATATTTGAACATTTTAAATCTGGTACTTTGTTCTTTCATGTGCCCAAATGTGCCCAGATCACTGTCATTTCCCTAAACCCACAGCTTTAGGAATTTACCATGCAGTTTATCTTTGAGACTCGGCACACTGCAGTACAGAGAACTGATCTCATTTACAAAGTTTGCCCTTTATCTTATTTTCAACTAGTATCATTTCAGTTGAAGAAATATGTCTCCCTCTAAGCCAGAATCACCTTTCCCTGGCCAAAAGAGTTTCTAAAAGGTGCACAATAACCTGTTAATTGCCTCTAGTCTGGGGCATCATCAAAGTGTTCCAAACGGTGAATGACCCAGTTTTTTACATGTTAAATTTTAGGTGGCAACAAGCTATTTGGTAAGCTTTCAGGTAAGATTGAAGAGAGAAAGAAGAAGTCACGTTGAAGGAGGTGGCTAAGCTATTTTAAAAAAAGAACTGAGGAAGTGAATCAGAAATGAGATCAAGAAAGTGAGCTAGTATTCTAGTACAAAGTATTATAGAGACAAGGTAAGGCAACTAACTACTAAGATGTAGATTACAGTCAATATTTGTTACCTTAAATCTTATACATAAATGCTGTATTTAGTCTGTATTTCTTTTTGACTACCATCAGATTTAACTCAGGACAAATCTCACATATCTAGGTTTGCTAAGTTTAGACTGAATAATATTTAGGACTTTTGTTTACTTATTAGATACAAAATTTTAATAGTCAAGTATAAAGTATCAGGATCTTTGCTCATGTTTTGCTTCTGAAACAAACCCTCTGACCACTCATTCTTCTTCAGATTTTCACCTACAGAATTTTGTCTTTCATCCATTGCTATTCACCTGTCTCACAAGCCCTAACCTTAATAGTTTTAATTTTTACCTGTATAAACAGATGAGGGCTTAATCACTTCCCAGCCCCAATGTCACATTCTCAAATTATCTGGATAATAGCTTTCTCTACACTGTATTGCAAACTGCAGAAGAATAAGCATGATGTTAGGCTTAATCTCTCCTCTATACCCAGAGGGTGTGGCACAAAGTAGATGTTCAGTAAGTATTTTTATATGAATGACAGTGAATTAAAAAACAGTATAAAGTACTAGAATAAAACTTCCTAGAATTTACTTAGTTATAGGTCAGAAGAATGGTACATTTGGTTTTTTTAAATCCCTTTGGGATTTCTTTTTTTTTCTTTTTAAGATTTTGAAAATGTAACTAATTTCAGGGTCTAACAGAAGCTCTCAGCCCCAAATATTTTCTTAACTTTCAACGGAGGTGTTTAACGCAATTTTTAAACCAAATATGTGAGCAAAATTTGCATAATCAAGAAAATTAAAACAAAAGGTAGTCATGGAAAGTCATTTTTAAAATGACTTTAATCATTAAATTATTTCAAACTTTCAGTCATTTAAAATGGCATATAACAACTTACCATATTCCTTTTCATTCACTTCAGAGATGGGTTCGGAAATCACACTGCAGAAAGAAATGGCACTTGCTGCAGACGGATTCCGAGAATGCCCCATGTGGTGCGGCACCTTCTTCACGTTCTTCAGGGCTTCCTCCGCTTGCTCCTGCTCCATTGCGGCAACCATGTCTTTATATGCTTTCCTGGCTTCCTCAGTGAGTTCTACTAACTTATTAAACAGGCTCTAAAAGAAAAAAGAGAGATTGCCTAGTCCATTTTGTGTTATACTCTTTATTACCATCATTAGCAATAAATATCTCTACTGTTTCAGGGATGGATACACTTTCCATCAGCACAAAATCCAAAGGTATGCAAACCACAGAACTCTATATAAAATATTGTAACTTATTTTCTTTTTTCTCTGTAACTTATTGATTCTCACAAGTCTGAAGCAAATTCTTAATGCAGTACTAGCCACTAAATTATGCACTATATTAAAGTTCTTGCGGAGTTTATTAACTCAACAGAGTTTATTAATTCAACAACTGCACCCTATAGCATCTAGCACTACAGTGGGTAGACAGACTACTGGAACAGCCACTCTGCTCTCAAGGAACCTTCTATATGGCTGAAAGGAGAGGACAGGAGACAATAACGCACAATACCTTAAATACCCAGAGATGTACAAAGTGTTTAGCTTTTGGAGGAAACATCTAGCTGCTAGGTATCAGTGAAGAGTTCATAAAGCAATGTGACACCTGATATATGCCTTGAAAATCTGGCACAGCATTCAGGGGTGGAGACAGTGCATTTTTAGCCAAGCATGCAAAACCATAAACAAAGGCACAGACTTTAATAAAGTTCAAGGCTTATTTGGGGAGCAGTGAAGAATCTTATATGGGTTTGAATATAAGAGAATGGGTGTATGCAGGGTGATGTTCAAGAATGTAGAAGGAGATGGCAGTCTCCATAGGAATTAAAAGCTCCCTATAATGTTTGGTGAAAGAATGCTTTAAAAAAAAAACAAACAGAAGTCAAGTGATTGGCTAGCTAGTGTTTGGCTAGCTGGGCCTTGAAAACAATGAAAGGCAAATTATAAAAATTGAATAAAGAATCTAGAAATACAATATAGAGTTAACTAGATGTTCTTCCATCAGCAAAACAGAATGAACATGAATAGAATTATCAATCCCAGTGAAATGGTAAGTAATGGAGCACACATGTGTTAGTAAAACGGTAAAATTCATATAGCATTACAATTGTACCTCAGTAACTAGGAGGTATAACAATATCTAAAGCATACTGAATGTTTCCACAGTCACAAAAAGATAATTAAAGAACAACTCAGTGGTTCTTGTGCGTGCGTGCGTGTGTGTGTGTGTGTGTGTGTGTGTGTTAGTCACTCAGTTGTGTCTGACTCTTTGTGACCCCAGGGACTATATCCCACCAGGCTCCTCTGTCCATGGGATTCTTCAGGCAAGAATACTGGAGTGGGTTGCCATGGCCTCTTCCAGGGGATCTTCCTGATTCAGTGATTGAACCTGGGTCTCCTGCATTGCAGGCAGATTCTTTACCATCTGAGCTATATAAAAGTCCTTTTACTGGTTTTTACATCACAATTTAACAACATTCTATTCCTCTTTAATGTCTTGATTGAGTATCATAATGCAAAATATATACCCACACATTAAGTAAAAAATTTCAGATGGTAGATACAATCTGGCTACCTGTAAGAATATGTTCAATTATGTACATAAAATATGTTTCCAGAAAATAGGGGAAAAGTACAACACAACTATTTTTTTCTAAATAAAGCACTGTCATTTAAGTATAAACCATAACATGAAAGCATGGTTTAAAAAAAAGTGCCATAATGTTATGGAAAAACACATCTCTATAAATTAAACCTGAGAAGAAAAAACATAAGTAGCATGCTTTACCCAGCTGCAGCTTAAATGCTTTACAGCAGCAGGTACAGTAAACACTGTTGCTAATTGTTTTGATTTTTGAAGAGAGGTAGGTGACAGTAGTATCAAAAATATATTCAGGATTTACTTAATTTTAAACGGGAAGGAGGATGGACTCTATTAAAAACATGTAACATGTCATAAATATTTCTTGGCAATATTCAACAAATCATGCACTTAAGTGAGGCCAACAAAGAAAACAGGCATATGGTACATAATTTTGAGATTTACATTGGTTTTATAATACAATAAAACACAGAAACTGTTGGAAGTAAAATGATAGAAAAGAAAACACAATTGAAGAGAGAAGCTGTTAGGGAATAAAAGTCTCTAGTATCAGTGTAAAGACCAAAAGCTTAATTCAAAGGTTAGTCTTACTAGATGGTAAATTTAATTTAGATGGGCTACCATATTTACTGCAGTAGACAAACCTGACAATATATCAGTATTTCCTTGACCTCCATTCTTTGAAGGTGTTTGGTAAACAGTAACCCACCTACCTCACAATGGGAAAGGCAAGTAAAGCAATGGACAAATAAAACTGGCAAACATTTTATAATATAAAAGCATTCAAATAACTTAATACATCTAATTCAGTAAGAAGTCAATACAGTTAAAAAAAAAAACATGTCTACTTTTCCTGATCTTGATCCTAGTCCACAAACTTGAACAGTGAACAAAAAAGGACTACATTTTTACACTTGATCTTAGCCAAAAGGCCGAGAAGCGATACATTTTTATTATGTCATTTGTTGTTGCACCCGAAGTAGCTGAAGATTCCCACTACACTAACAGGAACCAGCTTGTTCACACAGCGACCTAGAGCTTTTCTTCCAAAGGCAAACACAAATGGAATTTCTTGTTCCCATGCCATGGCTATAACATTATAGTCACTAGGTTGTGTCTGACTGTTTTGCGACCTTGGGGACTGTAGTCTGCTGGACTTCTCTGTCCATGGGATTTCCCAGGCAAGAATACTGGAGAGGGTTGCCATTTCCTTCTCCAGGGAATGCTCGCGACCCAGGGGTTGAACCTGCCCCTCTAGCACTGCAGACTGATTCTTTACCACTGAGCCTATGTGTCTTTACCATAGAGCTATTTATCATCCAAATCCTCAGATGTAGTTTAACACAGCAGGGAGATATACATCTACCACACAATTTATTAAACATTTATCACCTGTTCGTTCCCAAGTAATATGAAAGGTTGTCAGACACAAAGACAAGGGGCCTGCCCTCAAGGAATTCAGTTACACGAAGGAACACACGAACTACAGCAAGGCAGCGCTGACTCTATAACTGAGAAAAGCACGGGCTCCTGTGGCAAGCACAAATGTTAATTACATGACTCTAGAGAGAGTAGGTGGGTACACAGAAAATTTAATGGGAAGTGGGAGAGAAACCGAATAAATAGGGGGATGGGACTATACAAATATGGGGACTGGAAAGGAAAGACAGACACTTAAATATACACAAACAGTATGGCTGAGAAGAGGGAAAACTGTTCATCAGCAGTGTCACAAAATACTTTAGCTTCAACTTCATATAAAAGTCTTATTTTATGCACCAGATTGTATACAATTTAAAACAAATATAACTGAAAACAGGTCAATGTAACAAATCACAATAAAGTCAAATGATACACTAAAAAGAACCCCACATATTAAAACAAAACAAAAACCAATTTTATGTTATCAGTTAATAAGCACTGGTCTAAATAAGTAACATTTACTTTATCATTTAGCAGCTCCAATGGGCAAAGTTTTTGTTAGCAGACTATGAGAGGAAGACAACTATCACAGGTGAAGAACTGTTCTCTCAACAGGTTTAGGAATTTGGTTTTCTAAAGGAAAATCCTCTCCAAATTAAAGGGTTCTTTTCTCACTTGACTCCTAATAGCATACAATAAACCCAACATATAAACTGAAGAAAACTATTTTACATTACACAATACTGGATATCTTTACCCAGCAATTATATATATTATCAAGTACTACATAGCTGAACCTAGAAAAAAAAAAAAACCCACTGAGGCAGAAATATGAGCTAAAATCTTTTCAAAATGCTATAGGATTAACTTACACAAATGTTTCCAACACTAAAAAAGGAAATGTAATACTCAAGAATTTTCCACTCATTCCTGGAGAGTCACCATATCACTTCTGCAAATTCTCAAACACAACACTGGCATGTGTCCAAGGAAAACGTACTGTGGGGATGATGGCCGAGGGCACCGAGGGGCTGTGTCTAGTCTTACCTCAGCGCCGAAGTAGTTGAAGATTCCCACTACACTAACAGGAACCAGCTTGTTCACACAGCGACCTAGAGCTTTTCTTCCAAGGGCAAACACAAATGGAATTTCTTGTTCCCGTGCCATGGCTATAACATTATAGAGAGCCTCATCCAGGCCACCTGAGACATATAGGTTTTATTTTAGTTATTTACTAAATGAAGCTATTTCAGCACCCTAGAGCTAAAGCAAAAGACACAGCAGCAAAGGATTCTATGGATGCTTGGGGTCACTTAGGCTGCTCTACACATTTTCCTATCTATGGATAGAGGTACATACTTTCTTTCTCCCCAATTAAATACCATATTCCTGTAATGCCAGTATTTTTGTTTCTCCACAGGGATTAGCACAACAGGAATCAAATTTCAATATAATTAATACTTTCCATTTTTTAAATTAATTATAATTGTTAATAGTAGCTGATGCCTTTTATCTGATCTCTCAGCTCATGTAAGCCCCCCATCACAAGCAGGAAGACCAATTATAAATGACTGTTTTTACTAGTATGTCTCCCCTGTGCAGAATATACCTATTACTGCTACTGATGCATCTGTCTACTCCAATTATCAAAAAGGACAAAAAAGGGTGCATGACATGGTACAAAGTACTTGTGTGCTGGCTCACCCAAAGGCCTCTGTTACTGCTGATTTCTGAGACAAATCTCCACCATAAACAGAAGCAGACACTTTTATCTTTTTCTTAACTCTTTTTAAGAGAAAAGAGCTATCAAGGGTAATGTGAAAATTTTTAAAGTAGTAAACTTGTAAGAGTGCATTTCTTTACCTCTGTAAATAAATTCTACTGAAAAAATTTTTACAACAAAGGGGACACTTGGTTGGCTCAACCTAAATCCTTCACCAGGGTTCAAAAATGGGGATTTTCTTTACAATCTGATCTCA